CTTTCGCTTAGATAATGTTGAAACTCCGGGTAGATGTGGGATTGCCAATGAGTGCGCACGCTTGAACAAAGCAATAGCGCCTGCACGTAAGCGACAGCCGCATAGAGTTACCTTGTGAGATTTACACCATCAGCAGCGGCAGAGCTTGGATTACGCGAATCAGTCTGACGTAGTGTGTTTCTCAATACGTCATATGCGACGTTATTGTGTAGCACATGGGACATTAAGTTAATATGAAGGAGCCGAGATATTTCGTACTTGTATCTACCTGTACAATCACGGCTCAATGCCAAGATAAGTCACGATGGAAGTTGAAATGGTCGATGAATTTTATTAGTTCATTGCCGATTAAGCCTTCGCTGACTTAGCCGTTAAGCACTAAATTATTATTGATGAGGGTCTGATGACGTATGCGACGAAGCTGATTATTCATGTCATGACCAGCGAGTCATATTCGTCAACTTAGCATACCCTCCCCTGCTAATTTTGGTTAACCTGGTCTGAAGGGGGTGACCAGGAAAGAACCCAGACGTAGGCGGCAAGACAGACAGACGGACGGACGGACGGACGGACGGGCGGGCGGGCAGGCAAGCTGAAGGTGCCTGCATTACGCAAAAAATGTTTTGCATTTAAAAAAACATCTTTGATTGGTTGCGAAACTGTATAAAATGAATTTTTATATGGAACACTTATGGATTACCTAGTGTATAGTGGGTTCGAAGCTTATAGGTCAATATATGTATTTTTTTTTGGATGTACAAGTACCACCTCAGCCCGGATGAGATTCGTTAAAGACGATTCGATATTTATTGTTACGACTCTGGGATATAATGAACAAGCTTATGGTTCTGTTATTACTTCACTGTAAATATATAGTTCGACATTGTGATTTTGTATAAGTGTAGTATGACTTTGTATGACTTTGTATGCAGTGTGACATGTAACTAATTACTCATCGGTTTTGATATACAATTAAGGTTTTCAAATGAATGACGCATCAAATGCAGCTCCACGCATTCATGATTTACGCTAGTGGCATCCAGCATTCGGCACAACGACGTTATCCACTAGCTGGAATCGGCAGCCATTCAGGGCAGACAGACTGATTTGGCACGGCTCACGCCTGTCGCCTGATCTATTGGGTCAGAACGAGCCTACGACCACTCACTCCTATACACTGCCGGCAAAACCGCGATGAATATCTCAGCGGTCACTTTACTAAACATGAAGCTCGTTTTGTGCCTGACGAGAGCTGACAAGAGAAATGTGATACGGATGCTTGAGTTCGACTGCAGAAACGCGGTAAATGAAGAGAAAGTGTGTCGGGTGGCGTGCGTCGCGGCACATTAAAGCAACGTCGTCTACAACGACAACCGCACAACTTTCTCTCTTTCTTTCTTTCTTTCTTTCTTTCTTTCTTTCTTTCTTTCTTTCTTTCTTTCTTTCTTTCTTTCTTTCTTTCTTTCTTTCTTTCTTGCTTTCTTTCTTTCTTTCTTTCTTTCTTTCTTTGTGCCATCGGCCTGCACGCATTATATACAGAAAACGGCCAAGCAGAACGTGCTTTCCCCGAGCGGAGCATTTGTAGGCCTGTCTCATTATTTTTTTTTCTTCCTAGTTTTCTGACATCCCTTATCCCATACGCGCGCAAGTGTTCGCTCAGTTTTTAAGTTGTTCTATATTTTCGAGGCCCGTACTTTTCTATAAGTGGAGGAAATAATTTCGAACGGTTTAGGGTGCCATAACTTACCGGCTCACGGTGGTTACAGCGTGCGCGGCGGAGCGATAGCGACATCGAAATATCGGAGTGATTTGGCTCAGAGACGCTTTTTTTTTGCGCATACCGTGCTCTCTGCGAATGAAGTAGGTCCAGGACACGGGTACATGACTCAACCGTATAGCATCAATATTGAACAGCCAACGTGAGTGCGAATAGCTGGCATAAGCGATAATTTATTGATGGGGACACAAGCCAACATCTGCCAAATATCAGGAAACGTTAGCTGGTAATAATTAGTTATTATTATATTAACAAACATCAGTGAGTGCTTACACGTGCTTGTAGTATGCGGCCAAATACAATAGCTTGATTGCGACAGGTACTTTCACGGTACCCCTCCTTAGAGTGTGGGTGGGAGAGTGTGGGTGGGAGAGTGTGGGTGTGGGTGGGTGTAGGTGGGAAGATTAAATTGTCTTGAAAAAAAAAAGGAAAACATAGCAATAGCACTCGTGTTTGTTTGCATGCTACATGCATCGTATGAGTTAACTTGCAACGACTAGAAAGATTGGAGTGATCGACGTAACTACACAAGATTGAACGTTGCCTACCAGGTCAACAAAAACAAATCTACATACGCATGCATGCTTTCACCGTTTTATTGTGTGTAAACTGAATGAAACCGGGGCCGCCTTTCTTTTTTGTTGTCTCCGTATTCGTCGTAATTAAATGCTTGCACGCGGAGAAAACAGGCGAGGGTATCTAGGTCATCTTGATGCATTCAAATTATGGCAGCTATGGGGCTGTGACCACACTGTGCACCCAGGCCCCGTGTTTTCGTAGTGTCTGTAATAATTTGACGTTTACGACTGTAGACTTCTTGAAAAATTTGTTTCCATCGCCTACACGTAAGCGGTGCTAAACATTGTGTTGTAGCATTTCTAGAGACACTTGCGTTGAAAGCAGACATCAGATAGATCAAATAATGTCGTGCTTATCAAAGTTGGGTGTACAGGGTCATCTACATATACAGTTTATCTACACTATGATTACGCGTTGTATAGACATTGTGAAGTTGAATAAACGTTTTAGTTTCACCGGCTTGAATACTATAGTGAGTTATTCAACTCAGATGTTGTCGACTCTGTAAATGCACCGAACGTTGTACCCTCGTATTTTTTCATGTGTGTGTGTGTGTGTGTGTGTGTGTGTGTGTGTGTGTGTGTGTGTGTGTGTGTGTGTGTGTGTGTGTGTATGTGTGTGTGTGTGTGTGCGTGTTTGTTAGGTAGCAAATCAACCCGTAAAGCTCTTCGACTGAGACCCAACCCCAACTTAGAAAAAAAAAAAGAATGAATCTTCTCCTTGCGGATGCAAGTGAATTTGAGTCCGCCAGTGAAATAGCTGGCCAGTTCAGATCTCGCGGCGGAAGTAAAGATAAGGAATACTGGAACGGAGCGGCTTCTTTCGCCTTTACCCTCTTTTTCAAAAAAAAAGAAAAGAAAAAGAAACACGGGGGCGCACGTGCAAATATAACAAGCGTGTAATTTTTTTCTTTTTAAGTTTAATGGCGCTGTCTAATCGGGACTCGTCTGGTCGCGGCGTTTTCACAACGGCCGGATTTTCCACCCGGTTCACGAAAAGTAGGAAACGCCAAAAACGTGCGACGAGATTTTTGTCTTCTCAAGTCTCGTCGCGTCGTGGACGGCAGTTCTAGCGTGTGCGTCACGCTGTTCCGGTGTCGCTCGAAGTGTGAAGAACAGGACGGAAACGGCAGTTCGTGCGTGTGCGTCACGCTGTTCCGGTGTCGCTCGAAGTGTGAAGAACAGGACGGAAACGAGCAGGCGTCGCTGGGCACTTCAACTTCGCGGCTTACGAGTGGCTTAAAACGGCTTTCCTTCCCGCGTACATTTTTGTTCAAACGCTTGAAGAAGCGACACGTGGAATTCGCGAGGCCTTCAAGCGGGAAAACGTTGTAGAAAGACCAAACAAGCGCTGACCGTGTGCGACTTGGAGACGACCGAGTCGTGCGGCGCGTTGACTCCGCTTATCTTGTTGCTTTTTCGCTGTCGGGGGAAGTGTAAGCGAAGTATCAAGACAAGGGAGGCCGTAGGCGGAGAGCATTACTGGATTGTTTGTCTCGCCTTGTCTGCTCCAACTGCCCCCCCCCCCCCCCAAGCCTTTTCTTTGGTTCCGCAAATACTTCGTCTTTGTACAACACGCCAAAGACAAACAGTGGCTTGTACGCGTGACTGATACTTCGTTAAAGAAAAGCACGTGTTGCAAGTTTTGAAAGGCTCTATAAGGCGACGGTGAAACGGCCGCACATATTATAGCTTTGGATGAGTGTATCGCGTAACTATCGCCACCAGAAACCGTTATGTGTCGGAGGAATTGGCTAAATCCCAGTGATCACCACTGGTCTGCAAATATTAATGAATGAACCTATCGTCATCAAATGAGTATGTGCCACTGTGCGGCATAGAATTATCAACAGTATAAAGGCTCATGAGCATTTAAGCAGGATACAAAAATTGTTTGAGTATCCTATACGAAAAGAGCAGTATTTGATTGTTTTTTTTTGCTGCAAGCGAGCATACACATTGAAAGTTACGCAGCCAAACTGGCGCTATCAGCGATATCCACAAAAGCCGAGATGCATTTTCATCGAAGCTGGAGGCACCATCCCGCATGAAACTGAACAAAACAAGAACGTTGTAGTGAAGAGCGTCATTCCTGCAGTAATGGACACCACCTCGTAAGAGAATTCAATGTAACCATAATTATGCTGCGTATGAGGGTAAATCGCAGCGTTATGCACAGAGTATGCCAGGTAGGCACAGATTGTGCCTACGTGGCGGCGACAGAGGCTTCCTTGCTGAAGATGATGGCTGAACCATTGCGCGCCAGAACACTGCGTGGGAGGACAATAAGATGTAGTATACGCCTACATAATATAAACAATTCTAGAGCGATCCTCCTGAGTGGGTAGGAGCCAATTTTGAGAATTATTCATCATCAGGGGGAAAAGGAACATGCAAATGGCCAGAAGAAGAGCGTCGATAAGGACAAACGGAAGTACGAAATGAGTGCAGAGGAGGAGGAGGATAGGCTATCAGTGTAAATGGACCGGTGAACAATAAATAAAGTTCAGAATAAAGAGTACGCTATAAAATGTCGGATTTATTGCTGCGCCATCCCGCACGCCGCACCCCATAGGAGGCTAGTTGGCTGACTTACTGCGCTATAAATTCTACAAGTTGGTGGCTGCACTTCACCAGCGAAATGCATGAGTGCGCTTCTGGATCGGGGACTACGATGGCAGCTGGGCGGCCGCCTGAGCCAAGGTGTGGTTCACGGCCTACGGGATATCCAGGAAGACCTCAGGAGGTTTGAGACCCATAGGTGTCTCGAATACCTCGATCCAGCAGCTGCGCTGGCTAAGACGCTGCGTCTTTTAGCATCGTCACTTAGTGCACCGGCTTTCCAGGTTCTATTGCTGGTGGGGACGTAATGGTAGCACGCTGCCACGCACCTTCGCCATCGCTTTTGTGAATGCCAGACTCATCTAGTCAGACTAATAGGTCTAGAAACCTAAACTAACCGATACGGTCGTGTTATTTTCATATTTTTTTCTGAAGTTACCTTTCTCTTCACCATTCCATTTTTTTGAAAAGAATCATGTAGACAAATATGAGTACATCTTGAGTACCGTTGGGTCGCTCGATCGATCGCGGTCGTGCCTGAACGGACGTCTGTTCAGCACTTTGCTTCAAGATGTCCTAATTGATCGCTTTTTCGACGTCGTCGCTTCGCTAATATGCTGCATGTGGACTTCAGGCTTGGTTACTTACGTGTTGCGGAATGTTGCGCAACCTGCCTTTTTTGAACGATAAACATGACCACGAACACTTCTAAGCCGACACGACAAACACTTTTTATAATAGAAGCCCTCTCGTCTGCTTAGCATGATTCTAATCTTATGCAGATGCGCAGCTGAAATGTAGCGAGCTTTTTACTAGTAGTGTGTGTGTGCAATTTACAACCCGACTAAATATCATTTGCTTGCACGCAGCTAATCCCCAAGTCTCCCGCGAATACGAAAGTGTACCGGTACCCGAAGGAGAGGATGACCCGGAGTTCTGGCGGCTGTCCGGCCAGAACGGCATCTCCCGGCTCCTGTCGGCCCCCGTGGTCGACGCGCCCGCCAAGAATGTGATCGTGTTCGTTGGTGACGGCATGGGAATCTCGACAGGTCACCGCGTCGCGCATCTACCGCACCCAGAAAGGCACCGAACTGCCGGGCGAGGAAGGCAGCCTGTCTTTCGAACACTTTCCTTACACGGCGCTCGTCAAGGTATATGACCTGGGTCTATCCAGTCTTTCTGAAACATGCAAAGTAAACCAACTTCGCACGAGTAATGACAAGCCTGAAGGAAGTGTGGAGCCGGACGGCCTGCATGGTTTTCCTTTTTTTCCCTCTGTGTTCTATATCTCCTTTTTTTTGTCTGATTATTCATATTTCTTTCTTTCTTTCTTTCTTTCTTTCTTTCTTTCTTTCTTTCTTTCTTTCTTTCTTTCTTTCTCTCTTTCTTTCTTTCTTTCTTCCTTTCTTTCTTTCTATCTTTCTTTCTTTCTTTCTTTCCCTTCCTATTTCTAAGTTCTTTCTTTCGACCTCTATCTCTTTCCCCCATTCTAACTGTTTCTCTTGTTTTGTCTCTTTTTTACATCTATTTTTATACTCTGCAGTATTTCTATATCTCTTTCTTCGGTTTATTTATTCATATGTCTTTGGTTTATGTAATTATTTATTAATACCTTCTTTCTTTATTCGTTGTTTCTTTCTCTTTCTTTTTTTTTTACCCTTGTTCTGTCACCCGTAGAGTTATCGCATCTCACGCCACACGAATTGGCCAAAAGCTAACCAAAAGGTGAAAACAAAAAAAAACCGAAGAAAGCGTGAAGTGGTTCCCAGATAGTATTTTCTCGTTCTGCATGAAATAATGGTCGGGTTCGCATAAATAGATTCGCTGCTAAAAAGTACTGAGAGAGACACTGAAATCAGTCTAGGTAACTTTGTGACAGAACTGAAATGGTAGCGAACATATGTGTGTCTTGCATTGCGTGAATTTTTACGATGTTGTAATGGAAACCAGTCACAAAAACATTCTCTGAGGACTGGCGAAATTAGGACGGGGCGTTCCGTAGACTTATGGCTATATCGTTGTCCCGAGAGTCGCCTTATAGCTATTGACGAAGTGTCGATTAACGTAAGCTAGGCTTTATCATGACGAAAACTGTTCAGTCTCTGTGTGGCACAGAACACGCTCTCTCTGGTCTCGTCATTCCGATTGCTATTGTCCCATTTAAAACGTTCATATTAGTGAGGAAAGAGTGTGAATGTTTGAAGGCCATTATTGGGCGTTAGTGACACGTATGTGTGACTGTTTACTAGTTTTCACTTATATTGTTAAGCTTTATGACCTACTTTTATAGATGGCTGCACAGTCCATTTTGTCATGAATCAGATATTCTGTGTGCATGTGACCTATACATGTCGGTCTTTTTTTCTCTCGCTTTTTTTCTTCACATGGCGCAGACATACGCGGTGGACCGGCAGGTGACGGACAGCGCAGCGTCTGCGACGGCGCTTTTCTGCGGCGCCAAGACCAAGATGGCCATGCTTGCCCTGTCAGCAAAGGCTAATACATCTGAGTGCGACTCCGCTGCTGGCAACGAACTGCACTCTTTCATAAAAAAGGCCCAGGATAGAGGTACCCGTCTAAAGGAAGGACTTATCAACATAAGGCAGCCGTATTTTTTAATGCGAAAGTGGTTTATGCTGGGGTCTGCCACGGCTGCACTGTCGTACTTTTCTCATGGAAGTGACGTTGAAAAATATTCACTAACGGATTGCAAAGAAAAAGAAAAAGAGAACCAGAAGCGTGGAATCGAGCCAGCCACCTCTCTATTTATAGGGTGCGGCGCTAACCAATACACCACGGAGCATCGTTGACTAGGATGCTAACGGCAAGCCATTTATGTACACTATACACCATTTTAGTACTCAAAGCTTCAAAACTTTAGCACGTTTTCTTTATCAGTGGCAAGATGGCGCGACGAGCTCGCGTTAGAAGTACTGTGAAGGTCGTATAGCCTCCACGAGTGCCGCCCCCACAGAGCGTGGTCTCCCTATGCGGCGCTTATCAGACTTTCAATTCGGGAAAGGACGAAGGTCACATTGCACGCTGCCATGGCCGCGTTTACGAAAAGAGCGCGCTGATGACACACGATTCAGGAAGAATTGTGACAGTTGTTCGCGCTTGTCCTGTGTATGTTTGTGTGCTCGTTCCGTGCGTCTTTTTTTTCTGTTTGAACAGCGTGCTTTAAGTGCAGAGCTGTGACAGTTGTTAGTCCGAGCTCGTCCTGTAAATGCTAATTTCATGCGGGTTTTCTGCTTGAGGTGCGCGCTGCAAGTTTCGAGCTGCTTGCCTTTCCTAACGTGACTTTACTATATGTTTGTGTTGCTGAAACAATGCACAATAAGCGGTCAACTACCTCTGTAAAGGCACGTTTCACTTTCGTGTTATACCGATTCCTATATAGGATAATCATCGACGTTTTTTTGTATACCGTAGCAGCACTTACCGATTTCAAGAAAAAAACAAACAAACAATTGCAACTTATTTTGTGGAACTTTAGGAGTCATCGACGTATTCATCACGGAAGCTGTACTTTAGTACCTAATGTGTCTTAAGAACAGGTTGCACCTGCTGTAATAACAATGAAAGAATAAGTTCTGTTGAAGCAGCGGTGACGTGTTCTATAGTAATTTCGTGTGTATTACATCTCGTCATGCCCTCGAATTTAGAATCCTCAATGACAGTGCCCTCTGTAGCTTTCTTTTATTGATGTGGGGGGGGGGGGAACTTTTGTGCGCAAACAAGGCGCTGGCTACTCTTTATCCTCGAAGGTATCCAACGTAAGACGTGAAAGTTTCGTAAAAACACACGAGCAGAACATGGTGGTTTAAACACTGTCAAAGTTCTCACTGTAAAACGAATACATTAAACACACGGACTCTCGGACATACACACACTTGCGCACATGTGCCAAACAGCAAGCCCAGAGTAACCTAACGTGTACGATGCGTTGCATGTACAATAGAAAACTTCAGTGACAACAAGACGATGTGAAACACTATGCCTGGAATGCCAATACTAATGTAACTAATAATGTCTCTAGTCATGATGGAGACGAATTTTCACTCCCGGTCAACATCTAAGTGAGCGCATCATGATAGCTAGGACACATTACAAACACGGATCATCCTCGAGCCTTTCTTTGAGCAGCTTTAGGACGACCGGCCGGAGTCATCTGACACACACACGCCGCGACCAAATTATCGACGTTGGATCCGTTTCAACAATGTCACTGCTCCTTTCCACCTCAATACAGGCATGTCGACGGGTCTTGTGACAACCACGCGGGTGACACACGCTACACCTGCTGCCCTGTACGCCCACTCGGCGCACCGTGACTGGGAGATGGACACCAAAATGCCCAAGCGCACTCGTTGCAAGGACATCGCCCGGCAGCTCGTAGAGGATGAACCTGGAAGGAACATGAACGTGAGGATTCGATGTGGCGAAATGCCGTTGATCGGTTTATTTTTGACTTCTACTTTTCTAACTTTTTTATGAGACAGTTACGGAATACCTATGTTTTCTGCCTCTGTCTTTTCCCTTTCATACTTTTTTTTTCTTTCCCCAAACCCATACCGGTCATTGGAGGTGCCCTCGTAAAAAGAGACAGTTGGAAACCGGCCCTTTTCTTAACACTCTTTCTTTACATAAATACTTTGAGTGTGCGACGCGATGTCAGTGATGCAGGTCTGGTTGAGTGAAATGTGACGTTGCGGTTTTCACTCATCGTCACCGGAATGCTAAACCGTGCACATTGAACGGCCCAACTTGAAATCTCGCAGAAACGCAGTGACCACGGTATTTTCTTGGTACGCCATCTAAATTTGTGTCACAGAAGTGACGTGCTTCTGTGTTCTCATATACTTCCAGCCACAGACTTGGCAGATCATAGGTGCCTTTCTTGGCAGCACCTAGGTGGTCACCACCAACGATCTCTTATCTGTGCTGTGTTAAGGGAGTGTTCTGTACGAAAATGAAAAGTGATGCTTCATATTTTCTCAAAAATATACGTTTTAGTTGACTGGCAGAACATTGTATAATCTTCCCTTTAGAGTGTCGTCGTTATATTTACTCAAAGATATCCTGGTGGCACAGGCTCGTAATATAAGCGAGATTCGCTTTATGTTTGAGGCTTGGTACAAATGTTTCTTTTATGCAGTTATTTTCGATCGCGCATTAACACATCCTTGTAAGAAAGTGCGCTTTTCGCACATTTGTTCAAATAAAGTCTGGTGCATGGAGTTTCTATATTCGACAGTAAATTAGGATATAGCTCGAGTCGTAGCATTAAACTATTCGCAGAGAATGTGTTGACGTGCATTCGGCTCAGGTTATCCTGGGCGGAGGTCTAGCGTACTTCAAAGACAAGCAACGAGGCGGAGGCAAGCGCAGCGATGGCCTTGACCTGGTTGACCTCTGGAAAAAGGACAAGAAGAATCGGAAGTTCGTTGGATCTCGCGAGGAGCTGCTGGCCATCGACACCAACAAAACTGATTACCTACTCGGTGAGTTCTCCCTCAATGAGGCCTTGACGGGGACTAGTAAACGCTGCATCGTTCTCTTGCTGCGTTGTACTGTTACACCTAGATAGAATGAAAATGTGTGTCTAGTCCATAGGTCGGCGAAAAATCGGGCACTCAAGAAATACATGCTGTGCTTACTTGGACTAAGACTGATCGACATTCTCATGAGCACTTTCTTGGGATCAGACTCATCAACAGTTTCTGCAACCGGACTCGTTAGAGGGCGTACACAAGGCTAAATATATCTGCATAAGTATGAGCGAGTCGACCAGTCAGTCTTCCGGCGTATAATTAGCTATTTCGACCATATATAGCAAATACTCGTAAATGCCTCACATAATTAGTGGTCATCGGGGGCGCCTTTTAATGTCGTATCTTCGAATACTAGTTATCAGTGGTTTAAATGTTGTAAGCACATTTTTATTGACAGAGACTACTCACAGGAGGTATGTTTATCAATAATTTCCCGTGAAAGGGTTAGCTGGTGGGAGAAGAAGTCGGGACAACCGCCCTCTCCCCCCGCGCCTTTGACCAACGTATATTGAGCTGGCGTAGGGACGCTAGTGCGTTGAAGTGTATGTGTGCGTAGACGTGAGTACAAACGTTAGCTGATATAGGCTCACAGTGAAGCTGAAATTCAGTAGATGGAACCATAGGTCGGTGAAAAAGGTGGCGCTAACTCAAGCTCACTCAAGGCGCATATCTAGTGCTTAGGGCTCACTTTGGCTAAGACAATTCAGTTTTTCTCAGTCGGCCTCACTTGGATTTGCGCTCACCAACATATTACCCATCTGTGTTCACTAAAATTCACTATCGTGACTCAATCTGAGTCTTTGTGAGCCAATTCACGAGTAGATTTTCCGACCTACGGTCTATGGTTTTTTTTTCTCTGGATGAACAGCAGAGCGCAGCAAAAGGTTCTATTTGCGTGACTGTGTACATTTAACGTAATGTTTCAAGACGGCTTTATTAATTCTGAAAAATTGATAATATGTGGTCCCCTGAAGTTTAGTGGGAAATCATTAGCTGTAAGCACTTTCATTCGGTTCTGTCAACGGATGTTTCGGACGTAACGCAAAATATATTCCTGAGATGCACGTATACGCGGGTTCAGACTTCACGGAGTTCTAATGCTACAGTGTGCACTGAAATTACCGAGCACGAATAATGTAGAATGTACATGGGTTAAAGCTACACGAATGTTACCTTCAGATTATACCATTACATGTAGCCGATGGTTCCCCGCGCATTACAGGTAACATCACAATCAAGGAGTTATAGCTAATAATTTGTTCAGGCGGAAGAGCCTAATCCTCCTTCATGTACGTTCGTCCATGTGATTTTATGTGCACCTGTGTGAGTGCACATACAAATGAAAAAGAAAACATGGAAGGTGGTGTTTTTTGCAGTGATTAACCTCTCCTCCTGTGGGTATGCCAATGATTGCAGCACACTGCACCATAATGAAGCGTGTTGCACTACAGCATGAAATGACCCTACAGATTGTAGGGCGCCTTACGTGTCGAAGCTGTCTATAGCTGAATATGCCGATGATGTCGCTTACTTCAGGTCCGCTAATGTTTGCGCGTGGTGTAAGTAGAAAACGGTCTGTTAACAATTTCTTGATTGAAACACGTCTTCAAAAGCTTTCAAAGTTTTCTTTTATAGCGAAAGCGAGGAATATTGCCGACTGAAAAGTAGCCCTTTTTGTTCCTACCGTGACCGGAAAGTAGCACATAATGATTATCTGGCAATCAATTGACATTCGTTATGACGTTCTGTCCAGAGGAATGTGCTGGTACTTTCTTGACGGATTTATCGTTGACGTCACTGTGCTCTCGTGCAGGTCTTTTTTCGGGCGACCACATGTCGTACGAAGATTACCGCCAGGACAAGCAGCCGTCTCTGCTCGACATGGTGGTCACGGCCATTGAAATACTGCAAAAGCGTGGAAATTGCTTCGCGCTCAAATTGAAGGTAAGCAATGTTGTTTTCATCGACACGCTTTCGTCACTGAGTTAAAAAATTACCAGCACTTTCCATTATTTTATCGTATTGCTTTCCTTGTTAACGTTCCAATTTGGTGCGAAATATGTCTGATTTGCAAATTACTTGTCATATAAGGATGAATACCGAAGCCACTGGTTGATCCACAATTTTGCACGGAGGTGTACCCAATTCTCACAGATGGTATGTATTCAAAATTTTAAGGCATTGGGAAGAAGCGGAGGCTCATTGTTTATTGATTAAGTTCGCCCATGGTAAATATACGTAGGTCGCGTAACGTCTTTGTGCCAAAAGTAATGCATGGCTGGGTTCGTTCATTGTCAATATTAATTGAAACATTCAATGAGATCTGAAATCAAGATGGTAGCAGATGGATGGAAACACAATGTAGCATAAGCAGAACGAACAGAGGAACTTCCTTTCTTTTTTTCGCCCCTTATCTATCTCTCTTACAGCTCCTTTTACCTCCGGGATGACAATCTTGGGCGTCGTACGCAGCCTTGCTTTAAATAGGGCAAGGGCTACGCTTTTCGGCTTCACAGTTTTTTTTTCTTTGCAGACTGTGATTACGAACAGTGACACGGGCGCCCCCACTGGAGATGACCTTAATACCAACCCTTTTAAAACTAACACGACAAGGATGCTAAGACGACTTTGACAAAGATAGGTCCTCCCATAGAAACGTCGGCCGACCTGTTGAAGGCACTTTTGTACTGCTTATCCCATGTTGAATTAGGAGTTTTATGTGCTGGAAACGCATACCTATTGATGAGGAACAGCGCAGTGGGGAGACTAGGGAGTAATTTAACCACATGCGGTTCTTTAATGTGCTTATGTTAAGGTATGCGATTGTGTAATCTAACACCCTTCTTTTTCATCGACTACGAACCCATGGAGAAAGTGCCAGAAAGTTGATATGCGGTACCTCACGTTTTTTTATACTATAGTGCGCAGATCTGGAGCAGATTCCCTCGTCGTGGCTTCGAGGCAATCAATTTAATGGGCACTCTTTTTCCTCATCCATAATACAAGTGGCACAGCTGAAATGGTGCCGTCATAAAATGATTGTAGATACCATTCCTAAATGCGTCGTGTCTCGCTTGAGATTGCGCTGGGCTCAAGTTATGCCGGCGTATATATAGGGCTCTGCGCTCTGTTAACGGCGTTTCCATCCTGTTGTAATAAATACGGCTGTGAACGATTGAGACACTTAGAAGGAACTGGTTTCTATACTATACACTGGTCGTTAATTGCCGGAACGACGCTAGTCTGTGCGTAAGCCTACTTCGCTTTTCTATCATCTCATGCGGGGAGAATTTCGGTGAGTATAGACGAATCACATTTCTTCGTTCATTTTTCTGTCGGGCGTTTCCACGTATACGATGCTAGCAAACGCTTACGAAACCCGTGCAGCGAATGGGACAGTCATCCATTCGGCGTTGACGTCTGGAGTTCGGCTATTGTTCGCGTGGATGGACAAACGGGTCATCCTTTCACATACGACGCAGCTTTTGGTGGTCGGCAGCCGCCTTTTGTTTGCGGTGCAGCGCAGCACGGTCGCTCATCATAACACAGCGATAGCAGATACTCTTGCGGTAATTACCCCGGAAGCAGCTTCCTTGCCCACTGGCAAGGCATATGTGTTCTCAGCGCATGTGCTGCCGACTAATACCTGCCTGGTTGAAACGGAAACCAAAGCCGTGTTCTCCCAAACGCTGCTGACGCTCTCGAAGTACGTATGATAGCTGCGGGTTACATCTGTGTCTGCGGATGTTTCACTTTATTGAGGTATACTTGACGAATACATTACGACAGTGGCCGCTGTATGTGTTGGCGTCTTCTGACAGCGCCCCCGTCTCCATTATGTAAAGGCTTATCACTTAGTAGAAGCTGGTAACATAGAAAAAAAAGTGAATAGTTGGGGCAGGGACACAGCTTGGTTCTTTCCTATTCTTTCGTTTGTACTTTGTGTAGCATGATGATCTTTTTTGAGACTACTTTGTCTATTACGCAGTAGTAGTAGTAGTAGAAAAACTTTATTAAGTACATAATCCAGACAGGATTGAACTCCAGTTTTGTCTATTAAAAAGAACTACCAGGGTCTTCTTCACACAGTTAAGACTAATGAAAGCCCCACAGTGTTCGTCTAGTGTCTAAGACCGCGTTCACACTGAGCATTCCGGCCGCCGAAAGTGCTCCGAATCCGGTTCGGTGGCGGCGAGATCCGCCGAAAGGGCCTTCTCCACGCCGATCACTCTCGGACCAATTTTTGCGGCGTCTGTCGCCGAATAGGTCACCGCGATCCAATAGGAGCGCTAGTCAAGGAATTTCGAAAAATGGCGGCCGAGCCCTACTCACTTGTTATGCCGCAGTGCACGTAACTGAAGGTTGAAACCAACGGAAGTTTAACCTACTCTGTGCCTACTTCGCCTGCGTATTTCGTGAAAGAGGTGACCGAGCTTGCTGTTGGCGTGACCGAGCTTGTTCGAACCCACCAACGCCGCCGGCGTCGGTGGTTTTTCTGCTCTTCGTGCATTAAAAGACAGCCCATTGCCACCAAAGTAAGCAGTACTGTCTTTTCTTGCTTCTTGCGTACGAGAATCGTGGAAGTATACACCACCGGATAGCGTTGTAGCGTTTGCGAGCCGCGACAACAACCGGGTGACGGCGCATCCATCCCGCGGTCGCCCCTTGGTAGATGGCATATTTGGCGGCGCGGGGCGCGTCCACTGCGAACGACGCTGCGTTTCGGCGGCTGGATATTTCGGTAACTGTAGAAAGCAGATGTTTCAGTGTGAACTAGGCATAAGGTCGGCTGCTGACCCACATGTGGTGGGATCGAATCCCGGCTGCGGTGACTGCATTACTGATGGAGGGAAAAACGCTGCAAGTCCATGTGCTCAGATTCTTGTGCAAGTTAAGGAACCTAAGTGTGTCGATATTTTAGGAGCCTTCCACTACGGCGTCTCTCATAATCAAATGGTGGTTTTAGGACGTTAAACCCCACATATCGGTCCATCAAGACCAAAAGAAAGGCGAAAGACATCTTTTACTTCGGGGTCAATATATATATTCCTGCCCGGCCAACTACCGAAATGTTTCTGTACCTAACATGTGTTTTTTTTTTGCCATACGATACCACTGTCAGTGCGTTAGCAGAGATGTATACGTTACAAAAAGAAAAAAAAAAGGCAGATCCCACTTACTGTGGGAATCGATGATATGCGAAGCACGAATGAGAAATGTTGTTATGTCACTTATAATAACCACAAAATTATGAGGTGGAGACATATGATGCCGTACATGACTTCCGTGTCATGATTATTATGTTTGGATGTGTCGTTTACCTTCGCCATCTATCACGTCACGTGATACCAAATTTAGTACATGTGGAGCTAGCGAAACACCCGCGAGCAGGCTATGAGCATGGTATGTTGTCATGTTCTTACATGACAAGCGTTTCAGGATTAACAGGTCTGCACCAGTCATATATTTCGTCATCCATTGACGTCACGTAACATCGAATAGGTGACCGGTAAAATAGGCAATCACAGGGAACTGTGGGATACGACTGCTTCCGGTTTGACGCAACACACGGGTCAGCCACGGCACGCTTGCATTTTCGTACTGCTCCGTTGAAAAAAGCACCTCGCCGTGCAATGTCAATGCTTTAGAAGTAGTTTTTTTTTCTTTTTTGCCACCCGTAGTTGTGACGATGACGAGCTACGAAAGCCACGTATGGTCCGGAAACTTTTTTGTCGCACTAATATGATGTGCAATGCTTTTATGCATCTCGGGGGTGCTGTCAGTTTGGCCAGCAGATCAGTCGACACGGAAAACAGTTTTCCTTGTATGATATGGTACTGCAGATAAAAAGTCACAATTTTAAAGATCTCAGGGGACAAGGAGGACAGTAGCAGTGTGCTAAGAGTTAATTTCGGTATCGCTGTTATGGCCGAGCTCATCAGTCGATCGGCATGAAGCGCAACACTTATTAAGTGCGTTGAGATATTTTTTTCTAGCCTTCAGCGTGCTTTAGGATGCATTTTTAGTCGAAGCCAAATGCTTATTTGAACGCTGACCTTGGTCAAGCTGCACGGCACGGCGGCACATATACAATACAGTCAGACATAGACGGCGCCGAAAAATCAAAACCCTGCGCTTGTTTATCGTGACATGACATGCATGACATGCATGTCATGACATGCATGACATGTTACATGACATGCATGACATGTTACATGACATGCATGATCATGATTTTTACGTTAGGGCTGTCACTTGTGTTCGCCATGCAGTCATGTCATACCATGCCAATTTTGCAACATGTCATATGACGGAAACCACAGCAAGAGCAGCAAGACCTTGAAATATAAATCATGACATATTTGTCATGATTTTCGTGTTATGACTAGTCTGTTATGTATTTCATACAGTCACGTTATGCCATACTAAGTTTCGTATCGATAGCATAATCGAAACGGCCTGGAGAGCTAAAAGTCGTAGACGGCTAGATGGATAGATACGCTCAAAGTCGCCGAAGTTCGCTAAGGAATGCTTCGCAGTGGGTAGCGATTTAGAGTATGCAACTCGACTACGGAAGAGAACACAGCCAGCCCACGGACCTCACACTTGATTAGGCCCTGTTATCAATGATTACGCCGTGAACACACGACGACGGGGAGGGGGGGGGTAGAAAAACGAGGTAACGATTTAGAGCACAGGGTACTCTACTATGGGAGAGCTTAAAGCCGTCCCGAAGGCCTGCATGTTAAGGCCCTATACCGCCGAATGATCAATTGTTCAGTTGTAGAAATGACTGCAATGTGTTTTGCTGGCGCTTCTCTTCTTTTTCGCCCCGCTTCGGGGCGCAAGTGCAGTGTTTCTCAACTTGACTATTTGTCGGTCTATATACGTGAAATATCAGTTACGGACTATTTCTTAGGTTTTCCTATGCAGCCACCCACATGTTCTTATATATATATCGGGTGGGGCATTTCTGCTAGACCAACTGCTATTGCTTTCTTTTGTGCGTTTTAAAAGCGAAGCTCTAGGTCGTGGGAGCTTCTTTCCTCCGTATGTATAGGCACGCGCGCACTTTCTTACGGCTTGCACTTCGATTCTAGTTCCCACCTTTCACCACCGCTAGATCGTGGCACTGCAACCCAACCTTCGCTAAACCTTGGTAATACCAAGGAGGCTAAAAAAAATAGCAGCAGATTCACGGAGTGAATGATGGATAGTGGGGCGAAGCATCCGTCCGTCCATTCGTTCTTGCTTACGTCCATCCATGCATGCGCCTGTGTGGCCGCCCGTGCGTCCATCCGCCTGTCCGTGCGTGCGTCTGTTCGTGCGTCCGCACGTACATCTGTGCGTCCATCCCTGCTTTCGTCCATGCATCCGCTCCTGCGTCCGTCCATGCGTACACCCATCTGTGCAGCCATCCGTGCGTCCGTCCATGCATCTGTCTGCGTGTCCGTTCGCCCACCTATTCAACACTCCAAGTACCACCATCTCGCATCTTTTCATCATATATTCCTCATTAGAAGCACCGCCATCCAGCACACATTCCAAGGACTGAATGATAGGAGGCACACGCACACTTTCTTACGGCTTGCGCTTCGTGTCTACTTCCCAGCTTTCGCCACCTCGAGTTCATGGTATATACTAGTCCTCTGTATTCATGGCACTGCGGCCCAACGCTCGCCAAACCTTTCTAATACCTAGGAGGTTACGCTCAGCGAGTATAACATAGCAACCCTTTCTTGTCTTCTGTGCGTTGTTGAACAATGAAAAAATTCACAGCATATCCACGGAGTGAATGACGGAGAGTGGGGCGAAGCATTCGTCCGGCCATTCGTTCTTGCTTCCGTACGTCCATGCGTCCATTCGTATGACCGTCCATGCGTCCATCCGCCCGTTCGTGCGTGCATGCGTGCGTATGTTCGTGCGTCCGTCCCTGCGTTCGTCGCCCCGCCGTGGTGGTCTAGTGGCTAAGGTACTCGGCTGCTGACTCGCAGGTCGCGGGTTCGATTCCCGGCTGCAGCGGCTGCATTTCCGATGGAGGCGGAAATGTTGTAGGCCCGTGTGCTCAGATTTGGGTGCACGTTAAAGAATCCCAGGTGGTCGAAATTTCCGGAGCCCTCCACTACGGCGTCTCTCATAATCATATGGTGGTTTTGGGACGTTAAACCCCACATATCAATCATCAATCTCTGCGTTCGTCCATGCATCCGCCCCTGCATCCGTTCATGCGTCCATCCATGCATCTGTCTGTGTGTCCGTTCGTCCATCTATTCAACACTCCAAGTACCACCATCTCGCATCTTTTCATCATATATTCCTCATATAAAAGCACCGCTATCCAGCGGACATTCCAAGGACTAAACGAGAGGTGGCACACGCACACTTTCTTACGGCTTGCGCGTCGGGTATACTTCCCACCTTTAACCACCTCGAGTTCATAGTATATACTAGTTCCCTGTATTGATGGCACTGCGGCCCAACGCTCGCTAAACCTTTACAAACCCAAGGAGGTTACGCCCAGCGAGTATAACGTAGCAACTTTTTCTGCAGGTAGTGCTCAATGTACATGCCAATGGCTGCTAATGGGGATCGCAGCGTGCGCGTTAACTAAAAGCCGAATTTTCCTGTCTCTCATTCTCTTTTATTGCAGCCATTGGCATGTACATTGAGCACTATCTTTCATTGTTCAACAACGCACAGAAGAAATGAAATCTCTCACCGGCACCACCTTGGAGGTCAAAATGTTATACTAGTTACACACTACTACAACGGCTATGAGGGACGAACGGGTGCCGCTATAAGGAGCTTCGCCCCTAAAAAAATGAAATTGCCCAGCGTGTTTAACGTGACAACCTTTTCTTGTCTGAGTCCTCAAAGTGCATCCTTCTGTTACTAGTTTTCTTTAGTAAACCTCAAATTCAAAACAAATTTTATTGAAGATTATGTCACCGACACTCGTCTCTGTGGATTATTTCATCAGAAATAGGTACCATTTAAATTATGATTAACGTGCGCGTGTTTCTTCCTTGATTCAAATCCAAACACGTGTGGCTGGTCAGAAGCGGGACGCCGACTGAGGCCTGCGCTTAGTGACTATAGTTTCCTCCTGTATATACCGCCGCTAGGTCATAGCACTGCATTCCGACCCTCGCCAGCAAAGAGCTGTGAATAATCTGCTTTATTGTTTTCGCTTTGGGTACGCAGGCCGCGGGCTGCTCCTTTAGCCCGGCCGTGCGTAGCTACCTCTAGCTTATGACTTGCTAAACAGATGGCGTAGTTTGTATATGGTCTTGGGAATATTGGGAATAATATAACTAGATATATAACTAGATATAAATATAACGAGAACAGTGAGTCCGTCCATGCATCCATGCTTCTGTCCGTCCATTCGTTCTTGCTTCCGTCCATGCGTCAGTCCGTGCGTCCGCACCTCTGTCCACCCCTCCGTCCGGACGCACGAATCGGATAGACACTGTTGTGCAGCTGCTAATCGCCACCAGCAATCGTCGTTCTACGTCAAGCGACCTTCCGAAGTGGCGTCAACACATTTGTGGTACGTCGAATTCTGCAGAGCCGTCGGCTCGCTCGCTAGAAACTCTTTAGACACGCCTCACCAATGGACTACTGGAAGGGGCGATTGCAGTCTAAACTGTCGTCTTCTTTTCGTTGCTTGGATCATCAAGGTACACCGGGCAATAATCCGAGCGTCTGGGCTCGTTATACGAGATTGTTTCCCACGTTCCTTGTTGCATTCTTGTCTTCGCAGCCTGCCCGGAAGCCACCATACCGGAAGCTAGCAGCTTTTGATGAGTCAACCTTGAACCTTGATGTGATGGATGCCAGTTGTGCCGTGATGTGTCAATGCCTCCTTGAAGGAAGAGGACACAGTATACACAGTAGGCCCGCATCTGAAGCTACATAACGGGGTCGTTTATTGGAAGCTTAGTGCATCGTAAGCTTGAACCTCCGACAAGTATCATGCCGATATATGAGGACCGACCGTGGCTACAATGGAAGAATCGGGCTTCAGCGATGCGATGTATAAAGTCGATGCGATTCTTGAGACGCACCAAACAATCTACATCTGCAGATACCACCGCGATCTGCCCTAGTGGTTATGTTCTCGAATGCCCCTGAAGGTCACGACATTGAATACCGTTCGCTGCGGCCTCACTGGAGGTGAAATGATCGTTATATAGCTAAAGAAGTGCACGTTAAAAAACAACCGATGGTCGAAATTTCCGGAGCTCGCAAACCTTTCTTATAAACGTTTATATACGAAATGTTTGGACGAAAATCTTGACCAGCTATATTATTTATGATAATATTTATGATATTATAATGAGATCACACCGATATTTCTTAAAGCAATCTGCACGTGGTTCCAGAAACTGTTCCTGTTTCCGCTTTTCGGCACACTTTAATGACATTCATAACGAACTATCGCGTATTGCGTTCAATTTGCGCTCCACCGAGGCTGATTGCAATACGACGGAAGGGATGTGGCAGGCGTCCTATATATATATATAATATTATATATATATATATATATATATATATATATGTATTATATATATATATATATATATATATATATATATGTATGTATATATATATGTATGTATGTAGGTCGCGGTACAGCGCGAACTAAAGGCAGATAAACGTTGGCACTGTGACTCTCAGCAGCCGAACAGCAAGATCACCTTCTTTATCTTCGATCAGCCAGAGCTCCACTTCCTGGTGTCCGCCAAATCCCCTTATCGTCGTTTTGGTCCACCAGTACCGACGCGTCATTTGCCCCCCTCTTAATGAGCATCGCCCCGATGCTAAACCTGTAGTGCATTTTTTGTCTGTTCTTTAAGAAGTGTCTTGCGCAGTCACTACCTTTCATAAGGCTTCATGCGCACAACGTGAACTAGTTCAGGACGGTGCATGGCGAAGCCTCGTACTACATGAACTGTCGGGGACGACCTCGTAAGTAACATCACTCAGTCGTCGCAATACAAGATATGGCCCAAAGTATCTCCTTAGGAGCTTTTCAGAGAGTCCTCATTTCCGTATGGGCGTCCAAACCCATACTCTGTCGCCGGTCTGGTAAACGACTGTTCTGCGGCGAGAATCGTAGCGGCTCGCGTCGTACTCTTGTTGTTGCTGGATTCGCAGGCGTGCTAGTTGCCTTGCTTCTTCCGCTCGTTCTGTAAACATCTCGGCGTCCGGTTCGAAGTCGTCGCATTCGTGCGCTAGCATCGCATCTAACATGATTCGTACTTCCCTTCCGTGAATTAGGCTGAACGGGGTCATCCGGGTTGTTTCTTGCTTGGCAGTGTTGTATGCAAACGTGATATACGGCAAGATTTCGTCCCAATTTTTGTGTTCGACGTCTACGTACATTGAAAGCATGTTTCAATTGTTTTGTTAAGACGCTCTGTAAGCCCGTTCGTTTGCGGGTGGTAGGCAGTGGTTTTACGATGGGTTGTTCCACTCAGCATGAGGACTTGATCCAGAAGAGCTGCTGTAAATGCTGTTCCTCTGTCTGTGATTACGACACTTGGTGCACCATGCCGCAGGATAACGTTATCGATGAAAAATTGTGCCACCTCCGCTGCTGTACCTCTCTGGATAGTCTTTGTTTCAGCATAACGGGTAAGGTAATCAGTCGCGACAATAACCCAGCGGTTACCAGCAGTAGAAGTAGGAAGTGGGCCCAAAGTATCCATGCCAATCTGGTCTAATGGTGTTCTTGGGACCTGCACGGGCCGCAGGAGGCCAGCTGGTTTAGTCGGCGGTGACTTCCGTCGCTGGCAGTCGAGGCAAACACGAACAGGGTGTTTTACGGCTATGGTCAGTCTTGGCCAGAAGTAGCGCTGCCGTACTCTGGCCAACGTTCTCGTGTAACCTAAGTGGCCTGAAGTCATCTCGTTGTGGCATGCTTCGAGTTCTTCGGAGTGAAGGGCTGCTGGGATGACGAGAAAATACGCCGATCCTGTCGAAGAGAAGTTTCTTTTGTATAGTACTCTGCCCCGTAAACAAAATGATGACAGCGCTCTTACGAAAACAGTTGGTACCTTCTGAGATCTTCCCTCCAGGTAATTAATTAGGGCAAGTAACTCAGGGTCGCCACGTTGTTGCTGTGCAATAGCGGTTGAGTCAAGCACACCGAGAAATGCTGTTTTCTCCTCATCGGATAGAGTTGCCGATTCAATGGGTGAGCGGGATAGACAGTCGGCGTCCATGTGGCAGGTTCCCTGACTTGTGTAGGACAGTCATGTCGTACTCCTGCAGCCTGAGACTCCAACGCGCTAATCCCCCGGTAGGATCTTTAAGATTTGTCAACCAACACAGTGAATGGTGGTCGCTGATGACTTTGAAAGGGCGGCCGTATAAATACGGGCGAATTTTGTGACCGCCCATACCACGGCGAGGCATTCCTTCTCAGTCGTGGAGTAATTAGTCTCGGCGCGTGTTAGTGTTCGGCTTGCATAGGCGATTACTCTTTCTGCGCTCTCTTGCAGCTGCACAAGCACAGTTCCGAAACCAACATTGCTGGCATCAGTGTGTAGCATCGTTGGCGCTTTCTCATCAAAGTGGGCAAGCACTGGAGGCGTCAGTAGTTGCTGGCGGAGGTTCTTGAAGCAGCTTCTTCTTCGTTGCTCCTTTGGAAAGCAACGTCATCTCTCGTGAGGCGGGTTAACAGTGATGCGATGCGTGCGAAGTCCGCGATGAATGCCTATAATACGCACATAGTCCGAGGAATCGTCGGACAGCCTTGTTATCAGTCGGCACCGGGAACTGTGCAACAGCTGCGATCTTTTCAGGATCAGGATGAACGCCTGCGTGACTGACAACGTGGCCAAGAAATTGCAGCTCTTCATAGCAAAAGTGGCACTTTTCAGGCTTCAACGTCAAGCCCGCGGACCGTATGGCTTGTAAAACTGCCTCAAGTCTTTTAAGGTGCTGGTCAAATGTTGCGGCGAAAACTACGACATCATCAAGGTACACCAAGCAGGTTTTCCACTTCAACCCAGAAAGTACGGTATCCATAAGTCTTTGAAAGGTAGCAGGAGCTGAGCATAAACCAAAGGGCAAGACTTTAAGTTCATATAAGCCATGTGGTGTTACAAAAGCAGTCTTCCCGCGGTCTCTTGGGTCTACCTCGATTTGCCAATACCCACTCCTTAAGCACATCGATGAAAAGTAACGAGCATGTCGAAGTCTGTCGAGAGAGTCATCTATAAGAGAAAGTGGATACACATCTCTCTTTGTCACCCGATTGAGTTTTTGGTAATCTACACAGAAGCGCAGGCTGCCGTCTTTTTTTAACGAGGACTACAGGTGGCGGAGGGCTGAATGACGTCATCTTATAGCATTTTTTCGACTTGCTCTTGTGTCACTTCGCATTCCTTTGCAGCCACGCGATAGGGGTTTTAGTGAATTGGTCTCGCCATGTCCTCGGTAAGTATCCGATGCTTGGTTAGAGGCGTGCGGCCAACTCTTGATGTTGTAGAAAAGCAGTCTTTAAATTCGGCCAGTAGCTCAAGAAGCCTCTTTTGCTCGTTCTTGGGCAAAGTAGTGCTAACATCAAGAACTGGTGTTAATCATGTTTTGGCGTCTCGTCGACTACTGCCAAGTAGCCTTTTGCGTCTGTGATATCGTAAGCGACGGCCATGCCTTTTGGAAGGTGCCAGCGCTCATCACTAAAATTTGTCAGAAGCAAGTCCGTGCGTCCAGCGGCGACCCTGACGATACCTCTTGCGACGGAAATGCCATGTGTGAGGAGAAGCGAGGTTATTCGGTCTGCTACTCCTTCGCCGTCAAACTGGACAGCAGCTGCCACAGAAACAAGCGTGCATGACCGAGGAGAGAGAATCACATCGTCATCAGTTAGACGCTATCGGATTGGTCGCGCCTGTGTACAATCAGGTGCGCCCGAACTGTTGTGAAAATGTAATCAAACTGTCTGGGATATTGATGACGGCGCCGTACTTTCGTAAGAAGTCCATACCAATAATTAGATCCTTGCAGCATGCGGCGAGGACGATGAACGACGCAACGGAAGAAGAACCTTCTATGTCAATTCTCGCTGTGAATTTTCCATAGGGCATCAATAACTGACCACCTGCAGTGCTTATTTGAGGGCTTGTCCACGGCGTCTTCACTTTCTTGAGGCGGATGGTGAGGTCCTGACTGGTAATAGAAAAGTCGGCACTGGTGTCAACTAAGGTTGTTACTTTCTGGCCGTCAAGAAAAACACTAAGGTTGGCGGTCACAATGTCGTCGCTGTCATGTCTTGTCGGATTTACAGCGTCGTGTAATGGGGGCTTTTCATCGTCATCTTCATGGCCCGCAACCTTTCCCCCAGAGGTTGTCGCCCTCAGTTTCCCCGGCGCGGGCTGGGTGACCTTCTTGCGTTAAGGTCCACGGAAGTACGTCGGTGTGACGAAGGTGAATGAGCGGTAGAAGGAGAGCGGGATTGACGTCTCAAACCTGGCTGGCGGGTAGGTATTGCCTCCTCGTCAGAAGTACGGTATTCGTAGAAGTGAGAACGGGCTCCATGTAAAGAGTCGTCCTCCCGGCGTGGTATGTATTCTTCGTTCGCACGTCGATCGTCAGACCATGTTCGAAGAGGGCGGAACGAATCACTTCGGTGCCAGCAATGACGGGCAATATGACCTGCACCTCCGCAGGTAAAGCATAGTGGACGTCGATCGATTGTGCGCCATGCGTCTGTTCTTCAGAGCGGTGGACGTCTGAGCCTCCCTTCTTGCGACGATGTCCATGGTGCTGCTGTGGACGCCTGGTGGTATCTCGGTAGGCTTGGCGGTCGGCTCAGGGTCAGTTCTTGCGGCGGTGACCAAGGGGCCGTCGGCACTGGTGATATGGCAGGCGA